TACATGAACACATAAATAAATGAACACATGAATACATGAACACATGGACATGAACACATGAATACATGAATACATGAACATATGAATACATGAACACATGAACACATAAATACATGAACACATGAATACATGAACACATAAATACATGAACACATGTATACATGAACACATGAATACATGAACACATGAATACATAAACACATGGATACATGAACACATGGATACATGAACAAATAAATACATGAACACATAAATACATGAGCACATGAACACATAAATACATGAACACATGAACACATGGATACATGAACACATGAATACATGAACACATGAACACATGGATACATGAACACATGAATACATGAACACATGAATACATGAACACATGAATACATGAACACATGAATACATGAACACATGAATACATGAACACATAAATACATGAACACATGAATACATGAACACATGAACACATAAATACATGAACACATGAATACATGAACACATGGATACATGAACACATGAATACATGAGAACATGAATACATGAACACATGAATACATGAACACATGAATACATGAATACATGAACACATGAATACATGAACACATGAACACATGAATACATGAATACATGAACACATGAATACATGAACACATAAATACATGAACACATGAATACATGAACACATGGATACATGAACACATGAACACATGAACACATGAATACATGAACACATGAATACATGAACACATGGATACATGAACACATGAATACATGGATACATGAACACATGAACACATGAACACATGAACACATGAACACATGAATACATGAATACATGAACACATAAATACATGAACACATGAATACATGAACACATGAACACATAAATACATGAACACATGAATACATGAACACATGAACACATAAATACATGAACACATGAATACATGAACACATGAACATATGAATACATGAACACATGAATACATGAACACATGAATACATGAACACATGAATACATGAACACATGAATACATGAACACATGAATACATGAACACATGAATACATAAATACATGAACACATGAATACATGAACACATGAATACATGAATACATGAACACATGGATACATGAACACATGAATACATGAACACATGGATACATGAACACATGAATACATGAACACATGAACACATAAATACATGAACACATGAATACATGAACACATGAACATATGAATACATGAACACATGAACACATAAATACATGAACACATGAATACATGAACACATGAATACATGAACACATGAATACATGAATACATGAACATGAACACATGAATACATGAACACATGAATACATGAACACATAAATACATGAACACATGAACACATAAATACATGAACACATGAATACATGAACACATGGATACATGAACACATGAATACATGAACACATGAATACATGAACACATGAATACATGAACACATGAACACATAAATACATGAACACATGAATACATGAACACATGGATACATGAACACATAAATACATGAACACATGGATACATGAACACATGAATACATGAGCACATGAATACATGAACACATGGATACATGAACACATGAATACATGAGCACATGAATACATGAACACATGGATACATGAATACATGAACACATGAATACTTGAACGCATGAACACATGAATACATGAACACATGAATACATGAACACATAAATACATGAATACATGAACACATGAATACATGAACACATGGATACATGAACACATGAACACATGAATACATGAACACATGGATACATGAACACATGAAAACATGAACACATGAATACATGAACACATGGATACATGAACACATGAACACATAAATACATGAACACATGAATACATGAACACATGGATGCATGAACACATGAATACATGAACACATAAATAAATGAACACATGAACACATAAATGAACACATGAATACATGAACACATGAATACATGAACACATGAATACATGAACACATGGATACATGATCACATGAATACATGAACACATGAATACATGAACACATGAACACATGGATACATGAACACATAAATACATGAACACATGAATACATGAACACATGGATACATGAATACATGAACACATGAATACATGAACACATGAATACATGAATACATGAACACATGAACACATGGATACATGAACACATGAACATATGAATACATGAACACATGAACACATAAATACATGAACACATGAATACATGAACACATGAATACATGAACACATGAACACATAAATACATGAACACATGAATACATGAACACATGAATACATGAACACATGAATACATGAACACATGAACACATAAATACATGAACACATGAATACATGAACACATGAACACATGAATACATGAACACATGAATACATGAACACATGAACACATGGATACATGAACACATGAATACATGAACACATGAATACATGAACACATGAATACATGAACACATAAATAAATGAACACATGAACACATAAATAAATGAACACATGAACACATGAATACATGAACACATGAATACATGAACACATGGATACATGAACACATGAATACATGAACACATGAATACATGAACACATGAATACATGAACACATGAACATATGAATACATGAACACATGAACACATAAATACATGAACACATGAATACATGAACACATGAATACATGAACACATGAATACATGAACACATGAATACATGAACACATGAAACATAAATACATGAACACATGAATACATGAACACATGAATACATGAACACATGAATACAGGAACACATGAACACATAAATACATGAACACATGAATACATGAACACATGAACACATGAATACATGAACACATGAACACATGGATACATGAACACATGAATACATGAACACATGAATACATGAACACATGAACACATAAATACATGAACACATGAATACATGAACACATGAATACATGAACACATGGATACATGAACACATGAACACATAAATACATGAACACATGAATACATGAACACATGAACACATGAATACATGAACACATGAATACATGAACACATGAACACATGGATACATGAACACATGAATACATGAACACATGAACACATGGATACATGAACACATGAATACATGAATACATGAACACATGGATACATGAATACATGAACACATGAATACATGAACATGAATACATGAAGACATGAACACATAAATACATGAACACATGAATACATGAACACATGAACACATGGATACATGAACACATGGATACATGAACACATGGATACATGAACACATGAATACATGAACACATGAACATATGAATACATGAACACATGAACACATAAATACATGAACACATGAATACATGAATACATGAACACATGAATACATGAACACATGAATACATGAACACATGCACACATGATACAGGAACACATGAATACATGAACACATGAACATAAATACATGAACACATGAATACATGAACACATGAATACATGAACACATGAACATATGAATACATGAACACATGAACACATAAATACATGAACACATGAATACATGAATACATGAACACATGAATACATGAACACATGAACACATGAACACATGAATACATGAACACATGAATACATGAACACATGGATACATGAACACATGAATACATGAACACATGAACACATGAATACATGAACACATGAATACATGAATACATGAACACATGAATACATGAACACATGAACACATGGATACATGAACACATGAATACATGAACACATGAACACATGGATACATGAACACATGAATACATGAACACATGAACACATAAATACATGAACACATGAATACATGAACACATGAATACATGAACACATAAATACATGAACACATGAATACATGAACACATGTATACAGGAACACATGAATACATGAACACATGAACACATAAATACATGAACACATGAATACATGAACACATGAATACATGAACACATGAATACATGAACACATGAACACATGGATACATGAACACATGAATACATGAACACATGGATACATGAACACATGAACACATGAACACATAAATACATGAACACATGAATACATGAACACATGAATACATGAACACATGAACATATGAATACATGAACACATGAACACATAAATACATGAACACATGAATACATGAACACATGAATACATGAACACATGAATACATGAATACATGAATACATGAACACATGAATACATGAACACATGAATACATGAACACATGAACACATAAATACATGAACACATGAACACATAAATACATGAACACATGAATACATGAACATGAACACATGAATACATGAACACATGAATACCTGAACACATGGATACATGAACACATGAATACATGAACACATGGATACATGAACACATGAATACATGAACACATGAATACATGAACACATGGATACATGAACACATGGATACATGAACACATGGATACATGAACACATGAATACATGAACACATGAACACATCATTCTAGATGAAGCAGTTACTGGATGAAGTTAAACTTTAATCATTTCATGAGTTTTAAGTTGCATTAATTGATTTATTAATATTTATCCACCAAGTCAGATAAGTTGCTGCTACAAAGATTTTGAGTTTTGATATAAATCATTTAAAATCTGAACATTAAATTTGAAAGTTTCTGAAGTTTTATCCCTTTAAACCTCAAATGGAATAAATTGTCTTCGGTTTTTTTGTGATTTTTAGAATTTATTTCTGAAATGAACTTTTCTGATCCGATCCTGAGAAACGAGCCGCTCAGGTTCTGCTGCTGGTCTCAGATGTTCTGGACCCGTCCGGTTCCGGCTCCTCAGGCGGAGGTCCGGTCGGGTCAGTGACCTTCATGTTCTGTTCAGGACTTCCTGACCGACCTGGTGATGTCAGAGGTGGACCGCTGCGCCGACCACGACGTCCTGATCTTCAGGGAGAACACGCTGGCCACCAAGGCCATCGAGGAGTACCTGAAGCTGGTGGCAGAAGTACCTCCACGACGCCCTGGGTGAGTCCGGCCGGGTCCGATTGGGTCTGATCGCCGGGTCCGATCGCCGGGTCCGATCGCCGGGTCCGATTGGGTCTGATCGCCGGGTCCGATCGCCGGGTCCGATCGGGTCCGATCGCCGGCCTGGAAGCCTTAATGACTTTCTGACAACCTTTCGCAGCTACTGAGCGTTTCTGTCACAAACGTGGGAAGTTCTGGTCCAGTCGTCCAGAACCGCCGTCCAGAACCGCCGTCCTTACTCCCACAGAGCAGGGTCAGCTCTGAACGAGCCGGTCATGTGATCCAGGTGTGCTGGAGCAGGGAAGGTGTGACAGTTGCAGGATGGAGTTCTGGAGGACTGGACCTGAGCTCCCCTATTTCTGGACCCGCTCCGCTTCGGGTCGGTTCTGCTGAGCCTGAGTGCTGCAGCGGCTCCGGTTTTATTAAATATTAACACCCCGGCGGATCGGGTCGGTTCCAGTTCACTGGGCGACCCGTTAAAGTTGTGAAATTCCAGCTTCTGTGCTGACAGTGAACGCCTCACCGCTCCTCCAGACATAGAACCAGCCTGAAGGTTCTGCTGGTCCGGAACGGGCCGGTTCTGACGGGTTCTGTGTTTCTCCAGGTGAGTTCATCAAGGCTCTGTACGAGTCGGACGAGAACTGCGAGGTGGACCCGAGCCGATGTTCCGGCGGCGACCTGTCGGAACATCAGAGCAACCTGAAGATGTGCTGCGAGCTCGCCTTCTGCAAGATCATCAACTCCTACTGGTGAGCCGGCGCCGACCCGAAGGTTCCGGAGGCTCAGCAGGTTCTGGAGGTTCTGGAGGTTCTGGAGGCTCCGGAGGTTCTGAGGCTCCGGAGGTTCCGGAGGTTCTTGAAATTGACCCGGTCGGTTCCGGCCCGCTGTGTTGCAGCGTTTTCCCCCGGGAGCTGAAGGAAGTGTTTGCGTCGTGGAAGCAGCAGTGCGTGGCCCGCGGCCATCCTCATGACATCAGCAAGCGTCTGATCAGCGCCTCGCTCTTCCTGCGCTTCCTGTGCCCCGCCATCATGTCGCCGTCGCTCTTCAACCTGATGCAGGAGTATCCCGACGACCGGACCTCCAGGACGCTCACGCTCATCGCCAAGGTCATCCAGAACCTGGCCAACTTCACCAAGTGAGTGGCAGCGTCCGGCCGCGCCGTCGGGTCCGGCCGAGCCGTCGGGTCCCCGAGCCGTCGGGTCCGGCCGAGCCGTCGGGTCCGGCCGAGCCGCGGCTGAGCCGTCGGGTCCGGCCATCGGGTCCGGCCGCGCCGTCGGGTCCGGCCGAGCCGCGGCTGAGCCGTCGGGTCCAGCCGTTTCCCCAGCCTGACGCCGGCGTCCTCCGCAGGTTCGGGAACAAGGAGGAGTACATGGCCTTCATGAACGACTTCCTGGAGCACGAGTGGGCCGGGATGATGCGCTTCCTGTCGGAGATCTCCAACCCGGAGACTCTGTCCAACACGCCGGGCTTCGAGGGATACATCGACCTGGGCCGCGAACTGTCGGTGCTGCACACCCTGCTGTGGGAGGTGGTGTCCCAGCTGGACAAGGTGGGTGGATTTATTGAGGAGTGATCAGAATTGATCACTTCCTGATCAGACAGAAAGGTTTATAACAAGGGAAACGCTGGTCGTCATCACAACGCGCCGGGTCCGACGGTTCCTGCGTTCGGATCCTTAGTCAGGCAGATTGATCTCTATCAGAACCTGATCAGTTTCTCTGATCCATAAATCATCTTCCTGCTTTCAAATGAAAACCATCAATGATCTGATCGCCTTAAAAATAACAATGTTTAAATATTTCACTAAATGTTGAAACGTCCTGAAAGCTTTGAACTGGAAGTTTTTGCAAAGATCTGATGATGTTTTTATTCAGATCTACTTTATAGAAATGATTCCAGAAAATGAAAAGTGTTTTAAAAAACTGCAGGTCAGGAGAATAAATGAGACAGGATTTATCTTCAGCTTCAACTGATTAATTATTGTGTTCAATGTGATTATTGATTATTGGTGTTTGTCATATAACCTGATTAACGCCGCCGGACCGACCATCACAGATGCCCCGCCCCCAGCCCGGCTGTGCTCCCCCCTCACCGTCTCACCTGTAGGAGGCGCTCTCAGCATGGCTGCGCTGTGTTCTGGTTCTGTTCGGTAGCAGCATGACGTTCCACTGCGTTTGGTTTCCATAACGTTCTCCTCATGTTTTCTTCCTCTTTCTGTTCACTTCCTGCCTCCATCCTTTGCTTTTCCCGCCTCCGCCCGACGCTCCTCCGCCCGACGCTCCTCCGCCCGACGCTCCTCCCCCGTCTGCACGCAAACACGCCTCCACACGGCGACCACAGGGTGAAAATTCATTCCTGCAGGCCACCGTAGCGAAGCTGGGCCCGCTGCCGAGGATTCTGGGAGACATCTCCCGCTGCCTGTCGGCGCCGACGCCCATCCAGCAGCAGTTGAGGCGCTTCCAGGACAGCAGCCCCGCCCACAGCGGCAGCGTGGCGTCTGGGCTGCAGCGCATCTTTGAGGATCCCACCGACAGGTGACCAATCAGAAAGCAGAGGTTACTCAGCTAGACAGGAAGTGGCGTTCTGTTCATGTGAAGACTTTAGCTGTCAATCACCTGGTCGCACCAGGAAGTGCCAAAGCGGTTTGAAGGTTTATGAACCTGCAGAACAATCAGACATTAAATCGTCCCTGCCCAGACGACCTCTGACCTCATCGCTGGTCAGAAGGACCCATCATTGCGTAACTGAACCAGACAGAAACTGGACCAGAACCTTTAACAATGCCGTGAGACTGCCTGTTATTTTCTTTCATCAGAGAAAATGAATGATATCTAATATCCAGCTGGATCCTCGGCTCTCCGGAATGGCAACTCGTCTGTCCACAACTAGAATCCAAAGATTCTTCTGCAGAATTATAAATACAGTTTATTACAAAACCCAGCGATTCTTAGAAGAATCTGCGTTCTGTCTCTAACGTCTGTGTTTCTGCGACTTCCTGCAGCCGCAGCCTTCAGTCTCTGGTCGGTGAGCAGACCGAGGCTTACGGTCGAAGCCAGCGCCCCCTGCTGGCCGGCCAGGAGGAGCGGGACGGCCTGCTGCCCACCGGCCGCAGCGTGTCTCTGGTGGACCTGCAGGACCCTCAGAGCCTTCAGGGCCCCAAAGGGCCCCACGAGGCCCCTCCCCGCCTCAGCGGCTCCCAGGCCTCTCTTGGCCACGCCCCGCCCCCGGCGACGTACCCCCACTCTAACCCGGTGACCCCTCAGCCGGCCACGCACCAATCCAAAGCCCCGCCCAGAGACGGCCAGCCGCAGAGCGCGCCGCAGGTGAGGCGTCCGCTGCCGCCGCTCGGCCAGCAGCGCAGCCTGCAGCCGCTGTCCTTCCAGAACCCCGTCTACCACCTGAGCAACGCCGCCCGCTCCCTGCAGCGCGACTCCAGCTCCGACAACCTGAGCACCGAGAGCTCGCGCAACAGCCACAGCAACTCGGACGACTTCGGCAGCCAGGTGGGGGGCAAAGGTCGCGTGGCGTCCAACAGCAGCCTGGACGAGGTCGGCAGCAGGCGGAGCACCCAGAGCGAAGACTGCTCCACCCCACGCCGCCACCCGCCGCCCGACCCGCCGCTGGGCGTCGCCACCGCTGTGGCGGTCCCCCGCCAGACTGCCACGGCGGGCACCGCCCACATCGTCAAGGTGGAACAGCAGAGCCGCGGAGGGGGCGGGGCCAGGACGCCGCGCTCTCAGCCTCAGAGCGCTTCGCTGCGAAGCAGCAGCAGCACCAACACCGAGCCGACGCCCTCCACCCCCAGCCGTCCGTTGGCGCCCTGGAGAACGTTCCTCCGCCCTGCCGGAGCGGCGCCAAGCAGGCGCCTCAGGTAGGAATCCCGTTTGTCTGTGTAGCACATGGCAGCAGGGCCCTGACTGGGCAGGCCGACGCTCCGGAGGAGCGCGGCGGATGTCACGGTCGGACGGCCGGGAGCTGAAGGTTCTGTCTGTCCGTCAGACCGTCAGTTCCCAAAACCACTCAGAAAACCCCGCAAAAACTGCAGCAGGGTCATTGCAGCCCATGTCTTCAGACTGCGGGAGGTTTAAATGTTGGAAGGCCGATTGTGGAACCGTCTTTATGTGGCTCCGAAGGTCAAAGGTCGTCACTCCGCCGAGGTTCCAGCAGCGTTCCTCTTTAGGGGCCAAGATAATAACTTCAGTTTAGTTTCTCCGATGGCACTAAGTTCCTGCTCTCTGATTGGCCGAGGGCCCGTGATGATGTCACTGCCTGTATCCAGGTGGGAACGCCAGTGGAGGCGGCGGCCATGTCTCCGGTGGAGCGAACGGCGGCGTGGGTCCTGAACAACGGCCAGTATGAGGAGGAGGAGGGAGGGGAGGAAGGCCGGAAAGCAGAGAAGGTAACTGGTTTCTAACTGGTTTCTAACTGGTCTCTAACTGGTTTCTAACTGGTCTCTAACTGGTCTCTAACTGGTCTGTAACTGGTTTCTAACTGGTCTCTAACTGGTCTGTAACTGGTTTCTAACTGGTCTCTAACTGGTCTGTAACTGGTCTGCAGTACGAGCTGGAGATCTCCCGGTTGAAGGAGCGTCTGCGCGTGGCGGGTCGCCGTCTGGAGGAGTATGAGCGCCGCCTGCTGGCTCAGGAGCAGCAGATGCAGAAGCTCCTGCTGGAATATAAGAACCGCCTGGAGGACAGCGAGGAGCGTCTGCGGAGGCAGCAGGAGGAGAAGGACTGCCAGATGAAGAGCATCATCTGCAGGTAAAGCCTCGGCTGAGCAGCGCGCCTGGCTGAGACGCGGTGCGTGGCGTCATGATGCCTTCCTGCAGGCTGATGGCGGTGGAGGAGGAGCTGAAGA